AAAATCATAATAAATAGTATTAGATACCCTAATAATGATTGAGGCCAAGTTTGGTTTAATTTGGCCCAGTAGTTAAATTAAAAGCAGGTCATCCCATTGTAGTCTTACAATAGTTAATGAAGACCCCTTATTTAAATTAGTTTTCAAGTTGTGACCATTTGAAATTGTATTTTTACAATTTTCCCATAGACTTCTATAGTAAACCCCTATGTTCTATTTTTAGCCATGACGGCCATGTTGGTTGGATGGAAGGGTCATCATATGCATTTTGCAATCAAGATACCCTATTGAAAATTGTGGCTAAGTTTAATTCTATTTGGCTAAGTAGGTTAAGTGGAGAAGATTTTTGTAAAAGATTACAAAAATTTAAGAAAAATTGTTAAAAATTGACTATAAAGGGCAATAACTCCTTAAGGGGTCAATTGACAATTTTGGTCATTTGACTTATTTGTAGATCGAACTTTGCTTTTAACATTATTGCTGTTTACAGTTTATCTCTATATATAAAAATATTTTAGATAATATCCAAAAACTGCAAAATTTCATTAAAAATACCAATTCAGGGGCAGCAACCCAACAAAGGATTGTCTGATTTGTCTGAAAGTTTCAGAGCAGATAGGTCTTAACCTGATGAAAATTTTTACCCTGTCAGATATGCTCTAAAAGCTTAAGTTTCAGAGATATAAGCTAAAAACTGCATTTTACCCCTATGTTTTATTTTTAGCCATGTCGGCCATGTTGGTTGGCAGGCGGGATCATCGGACACATTTTTAAACTAGATAACCTGATGATGCTTGTCTTGTAGTCAAGTATGGTTAAATTTATCTCGATAGTTTCTGAGTAGAAGATTTTTGTAAAAGATTACAAAAATTACGAAAAATTGTTAAAAATTTTGGTCATGTTGACTTATTTGTTGATCTTACTTTGCTGAACATTATTGCTTTTTACAGTGTATCTCTATCTATAATAATATTCAAGATAAACAAAAAGTGCAAAATTTCCTTAAAATTACCAACGCAGGGGCAGCAACCCAACAACGGGTTGTCTGATTCGTTTGAAAATTTCAGGGCAGATAGATCTTAACCTGATGAACATTATTTACCTATTATCATATTTGGTCCTAATGCTTTAGTTTCAGAGATATAAGCCCAAAACTGCATGTTCTATTTTTAGCCATGTCGGCCATGTTGGTTGGCAGGCGGGGTCATCGAACACAACTTTTCAAAAAGTTACCCTAATGATGATTGTGGCCAAGTTTGGTTAAATTTGGTCCAGTAGTTTCAGAGGAGAAGATTTTTGTAAAAGTTAACCGACGGACGACGGACGCCAAGTGATGAGAAAAGCTCACTTGGCCCATTGGGTCAGGTGAGCTAAAAAAGGATAAGAAAAACATGAAAGGTAGGCTGTCTAGGTTAGCCTAATACTAGATAGAGTATTTCTGACAAAACTAAACCCAAAGAATTTAATACAGTATGCAATCTATGTCCATTGTCCGAATTTCTAAAAGCTAATTTGGTCTTAAGTATATAGATTCTAGGTACTGACGTTGTTTATCATCTTATTTACGTGTTATAGTGTTCTTTTATTTGTCTTTGTAAATGATTACTTGCACTGTTTAGTCTATTTTTGGTAATATTCCTTTGACGTGGCTCGGTACTTATACATCCCGACATTGTGTTATTGTGCTATGGTAATTTTTTGTATCCTTGTCTTCCGTTTTTGCTTATGTGCTTTGTCTATATGCCATTTTTGTTTTTCTTTGTTGACATATTTGTTTGTTTTATAGTGATTAAAATTATAACACAATGTTGACAGCAGTACCCCTATGTTTGACATTTTTACCAATTATGTCTGTTTGTTTTGTTCACACACTGTTGTCAATATAATGGGATTTTATGCGACTGTCATATAAGAGAGAGGTTTAGCAAGCTATAAAACCAGGTTTAATCCACTATTTTCTACATTAGAAAATGCTTGTACCAAGTCAGGAATATGACAGTTGTTATCCATTCGTTTGATGTGTTTGAGCTTTTGATATTGCCATTTGATAAAGGACTTTCAGCTTTGAATTTTCCCTGGAGTTCGGTATTTTTGTTATTTTACTAATATAAGACAGTATCATCATTTGCTTTCAGTATGCACTTTTTATCTTTGATAATCTTTTCCTTGTTGAGATGCTGCACTCATTTTATAGCCCTATATTGAATTTATCAATACATGTACTATCATTTGTAGTTTTTTTTTACAAACTCAATGACAACATAACAAAATATACACTTATAATGACTACAATGAAACTCATAAAAATGATGGAATCAAATTTGAGAGGGACTCAATTATAGTAAATTAATGTAACATTATTTTGTATTGAGGAGGTAAAAAAAAACTACAATATTTTTCGGGGACCTGCATATTTCAGACAAGGTAAACTTACACTTTGCTTTTAATATAACAAGATCGAATGAACACTGCATGAACAACTCGTCCTGGTATTATTGTAGAACTCCTTACAACCTTACAAAAGAGGGGCTAAAGATACCAGATGGACATTCAAACTCATAAATCGAAAAGAAAAAGACAAACAATAGTACACAAAACACAACATAGAAAACTAAAGACTAAGCAACACGAACCCCACCAAAACTGTGGGCGATCTCAGGTGCTCCGGAATGGTAAGCAGATCCTGCTCCACATGTGGCACCCGTCGTGTTGCTCATGTTAGTAAAAACCCGGTAACAAGTCTAATTCGGAAGGTCACATTCGTGAAACTCGTCCTGGTATTATTGTAGAATTCCTTCTTTGCATCATTCATCTATTTAAAAAGAGTAGAGTGACCCTTAACTCGATTAGTTGACAATAACATTTGTACATTTTTTTATATCCGAGATGGAATTGGCCTTTGACGTTTAAGAACCTTTACCGTAACTCTGTGAGGGGTATGAAGGTAGCCTATTGCAAGGCAAAATTTACAACCCTATCCAAAACACCCCAGTTTCCAGTGATAGTTCAAACACTCTACCCTTCATCACAGTCACAGTAGCAGAACCTACGTTTTGCATTAGTTATGGATTTGCTATATATGCACGAGATATTTATCACTATACGTTAAATAAGCAACACTCAATCAATCAATCCAAATGCTTAATTTGTTTTTAGACTCAATTTTTTTTTCATGGGGATGAATAAGGGGTTTGTCCCCTTAACGAAGGAACACAAACAAATTGCAAATGAGCTGGGATGCTAGAACAAAATTCTTACAAATCTGAAGTTTGAGTGAATAATCCAATTAAGTGCTTAGAAAAAAGGGGGAACAAATAAGGCAATTCGAACCATATACAATTTAAGACACCGCAAATATATAGTAAGGGCGCTTGCCATATGAAAAAGTATCGAAATATTTGGAAACCATACCTGGAGGGACAAGTTTCTACCTCGATAATATATTTATATTAACCAATTTCAAGCAGATAAACCATACACCAGTTATTTCCTTTTGTAATTTTTCTCATTCCAGCTTTTTCCTTTAATTCTCAAACTACCACCTGAAACAATGTAACAAAAAATGAATACTGGTATTTTTGAAATAGTAACGAAGTTGTTGTACGAACAAGTGGGACGCAACATGTCATTTTCAATAGACTGAAGTTTTCGGAATCTGCCATACTTGACACAAGATTTTGCGACCTTTAAACTATAGACGCCATACATCAATCACGTGTGAATTGTTTCATTAGACATTTAAACAATTTTTTATGCTATCAATATTTACATACAGTTAAACCATATGTTTCAGCAGTATTTTTTTTTAATTGTTTTTCCAATTTTCATTCAAGCTTGTCCGGGATTTTGGTTTATTTTTTGACATTAACTTATGATTTTCGGCATGAAGTTGTTTTACCATTATGCTAGATTTATTGTATGTTGTCCAAAGCAACCAGAAATAGACATTTTCACATTTTTGGTCTTATTTATACACGATTTGTCTTTATCTGACCGACAGTAAAAATCTAGACAAATCGAGGTGTCTGTTTGGCTGTGCGGGATGTATAAGTACGCAGCTGTTGCTGGTTGAATAAGAAACCTTTCCTTGGGTTTTATTCATACTTAAAAAAATGTTGCAAAAAAAACCCAGATTATGTATGCGCCCCTAGAGATATTGTTGTACACTCATCGCTGAAAAGTAGGTTTTTATTTAAGGTACTATTTGGTAACCAGTTTAGATCGACGGAATGACGAACAAAGTGTCGACTTGACGTTCGTCTGTTATGACATCGTAGTACACAACTATGATGTATTTGCATAAAGATAAATATATTTCAAGTGATAAATTCATTTCAAAGGTCATGTCCACTGCAGTTACGAAAATGTAATCACGAAACATATATTTGTAAAACGAACTGGAATCCAGAAAGTTCACGGTAAATGAACCAGCTTATCACTTATTGTGATTTAAAAAAAGTGTGAAACATTTCTGCTACTTACTTTTTTAAATGTTACAAAGAAGCAGGCGGGTGTTAAGTGGATGTCATTCTGAAGAAATCGTAATAAATAAATCTGAACAGCTAACATATATGAGAAGCTGACATTCAACATACTGTATATTTTTGTTAGTATATATAAGTAATGATTTACACGTACCGCCGTAAGCTTGATTCGACCACATACATGATCATTGCTAAAGTCATTAGTCTTTGTGTTTATTGACTGACAATACTGTAGCTTTAGGATGTGACAACGAGACTTAGTCACTATAAACATTTCTTAATCTATTACATATCGTTTGTTGCTCTTATATAGTGTTAGGTTTAACTGTTGCTGTAAGTATACGCTTTTTAAGACTCAATTTTCTCTTATTTATTGAAATACATGAATAAATTTAGTTTGAAAAATCAAAAAGAAAGTAAACATAAAAAAACACACAAAACAAACCAGAAAGACTTTAAAAGATTATGCAGACAGCGTGCCTTTTTTAAATTAAAATTGACTTTCATTTACAGGCTTTTCGATGATGTTTTTCAATTTAGCTATGCCACTTTTGCTTGTTGTGCAAGTTGATGGATTAGAGATTCCAACAACAATTAAGACAAGTTTAGGGCATATATTAGGTGTAAAGTATACAGAGCCTTATACAAAGAAAACAGTTTACGAGTTCAGAAAAATTCCATATGCCATACCACCAGTGGGGAAAAGAAGATTTACAAACCCTTGGTTTTATGGTCGTTGGCTTGGGACACTAACAGCAACAAAGTTTGGTCCATCATGTTATCAAGACATAGAAATGAGTACAGCTTTTTTGTCGAATACAAATATTTCGGAAAACTGTTTACATCTGAATATATATGTTCCAAATAATATTTCGAGTAGAAATGATTATTCCGTAATGGTATGGATTCATGGTGGCAAATTTGATAAAGGTCAAGGGATGACCTTCAGGGGAGAAATGTTGGCTTCTAGTGGTGATGTCATTGTTGTCACTGTTAATTATCGTCTAGGAATATTTGGATTTTTGAGTACCGGTGATTCTGCAGCTCGTGGTAATTATGGTTTCAAAGATCAACAAATAGCACTTTTATGGATACGAAGGTATATTAAATCGTTTGGAGGAGACCCAAAGTCTATAACGGTATTTGGCCATTCTGCTGGTGCAATGAGCATTGCACTTCATGCCCTCATGACTAAAGGTTTGTTTCGAAGAATGATTCTACAAAGTGGTTTTGCCACCTCGCCACTGGCTTTATCTACCAGTGTGCCAAAATATACACAGAAAGTTGCCAAACTGGTACGTTGCTGGACCAGTGATAATAATCTGGTTGTTGACTGTCTCCGGAATGTAACAAGCAAGGATTTACAAAGTGCATATCGAGATGTGATCAGTAAAACTGACCATCCTACATTCTCACCACCATTTGGTCCGGTCATTGATGGAAAACGCATCACTGATAATCCGTCTAATTTATTAAGAAATTCGACTAATTTTAATTCAATTGATCTGTTGATAGGAAATGTGGTAATTGAAGGTTCAACTTATGTTGAACTTCTTAATAAATATCAAAAGTCGTATAATTTTAATATATCGAATGGTATACCGAAACGTATACTGTGTAATCATATAGCACCACTGCTTGTAAAGGATATATATAGAAACAACCCGGGAATGAGTCAAGTAATATGTGACAGATACGGCAAGGGTTCTAACTTGCAAGAACAAACTACAAATCAGCTAGATTTTTATGGTGACGTAATGTTTTACAGCCAAACAAAGCTCGCTCTAAGAAGCCATTCAGAAGGAAATTCAAGTAGTAAAACTTTTCAATATATGTTTACACAACACACGGATTTAACACAGACTAAAGTATTGCCATCATGGGTTAAGGGACCTGTTCATGGTAGTGACATATATTTTGTGTCTCCTTTCCTTGAATTGATGTCTTTATCAGATGATAATAAGAAAGTAGCAGAAGCAGTAATGAGGTACTGGACAAATTTTGCTAAATATGGGTGAGTGATAAGCGAATATATATATATATCTTTTTAGATTTCTGTTGCTTACATTATATAATTTTACCAAACATTATTAGAGTATAGAGGTTGGTTCAATATCTACATGTTAGGAGTATGACTGCTTTGCGAAGGTGCTTCTCGTCTTTTTAGTTGTTTGGGATTATACATACGCTGTCACGTCCAGTCGGAACGTTAACTCTGATGCCTCATTTAGGAAAGTACCAAGCTATCTCACTCTTTCAGCAAATTAGCTCTTTAAATGGTCCGTACTAGAACTATCAAATTCCGACTCCTATCAACGTATCTTCATTCTTCAGTTGTAGCTATAAATATGTGTCCGTTCCTCCAGTCGACACAAATTTTTTAACTGTTTATATTTTTAAGATTTATTGTAAAATTGTTCTTGTCCTAAAGTTGTATGTAATATTTGCCACTGGACGTGTAGTCAATCAATCAATAAGTATGCATTATTGCAATATGAATTGTTATGTTCCATTTAATTTTCGGGTGAGTTAACTTCTATTATTGCAATATCCAGTCCCCCGTTGACCGCTTGTCATTTGAAAAATAAAGAATAGGATGAGCTTAGACCAGTGCTCTAACTTCCATCTGAGAAGTTGCTTTTGAACTGTCTCGCTCCGACTCCTTGGAATAGTAAACAATGAAAGAATAAAACAAAATGTATTATTATACTCATGTCAAAATGCCAGATTTTGATTGGTTAATACGAGGGAGACAATTTACTATATCCCATGGCAAATACTCTATTACCCTTCACGGAGACGCTTGCTCAAGTGTGCACTTTAATAAATACGGATGATTGTTATGTACAAGACGACATAGTTTATTACTTTGAATTTAAAAGACAGTAATTACAGAACATTCAGTATAATAAATTATATAACACATATCTGAGAGGGTGATAGAGCAGATTGTTACCCCTCGAAAAGACATTGTCAACCTTGGCTTCGCCTCAGTTGACAATGTTTTCTCAGAGTAACAATCTGCTCTATCACCCTCTCAGCTATGTGTTATTTATATAATATCAATGACCGTAAAATTTCCTTATCAATTTCAATGAAATGCATACACAGTAAATTATCAAAGCAGAAATTCGGAGGGTGGATCAGGGGCTTTAAAGTAACTAACCCATATCCAACTACAGGTCGAACCCTTAAACCTAACCACAAAGAATGGTTCCCTAATAGGAGGCAACTGAATACCCGTGAGGAGCTACAAAAAGAAATAACATAGTATAGAGGCGATATTGATAAATTTCTGTATCAAATTATTTAAAATTTCTAGAAATACCGAAAGCTAAATACAGATAAATAGGTCGCTTATATCTAAACATATCGTTTAAAGGAGACCTTGTCCTGGTTTTTCATCCTTTCATAGCGACCCCGCCTAGCGTATTAAAGGAGGAACTGGCATTTTGGTTGTATATCTATGATCGTATCAGATCCAATGTGGCACTTGATGTTCAGTCATTTCTTCAAATTTACAAAGGTCTATCTCCGTGAATGAGCATGCTTTAAATATTTGTCCGTGTCCCTCAACAACCTATCAATTAAGCGATTTTTTTCTTGTAGATGGTGAAGAAAGAATACTTTTACAATAACGTTAAAAAATGAATTTTCTTATCAAAACGTTCAACTACTTTTTAACTCCATTTTTACACCTCTTACTAAGCTTTAAAAGTAACAGTGAAAGTGCAATATGTTGTTCAATAAACGATAGCTTTGAAATATGATACATCGATGATCTTGCATCTCCCCCTCACGAATTCTCGGGGAGGGAACACTATTCAATAACAGATTAATTGCCTTCGGATCTGTAAAACTCCATGTAAATCCTACGACAAAAATTCATGTTTACACGTACATTGTGTGGAAGACCCATTGCCATTGGTGGCCTATGGCTGTGTTTTGCTCTTTGGTCGTGTTGTTGTCGCTTTGACACATTCCCCATTTCCATTCTCAATTTTTACATGTATTTGAAATATAAATCCTACTGAAAACATGCCATATATGTTCTTTTCTGAAACAAAAATAGTTGGAAAACGATACTTATAGTGATAAATTGTTTGTTGTATGCTTTATTTTTATATTGCCTTATTCATAAGTTGGATAATTTAAACATGAACACATATTTCAAAAAGTGAGTATATGATTATCTACATTTCAGGGATGTAAATGGTGATGGCCTTGCTCCTTGGCCAGAATATGACCCTACACTTCAGAAATATCTACAGATTGATGTTAATATGACAACAAGAAGTAAATTTTATGAATCTCGCGTTGATTTTTGGTTGGAGGAGGTACCAAAATTATTAGTTACTGTAGAAAATCGGTCTAGTTCCTTTTCTTCCTGCGCAGTTCTTGTATTCTGTATTTCTATGCTAGTATTTTCATTGTAAATAAAATTAAATATTCCATATTCTGTGGTAGTAGAATACAATAACCCTACATCAAAAATTGTTGTTTACGATATAAAAATAATGAGATGTTGTGTAATTGCTAATGAGACAACTATCCACCAAAGTTCAAATGAAGTGGATCTAAGCAATTATAGGCAACCGTACGGCCTTCAACAATGAGAAAAAAATGTTTTTGTTGTAATTTATTTGCGTATCATATCTGTATGCATAACTTCTATTTGTGTGTTCGAAACATGAGACGAGTAAGTGAAGGATAGAAATGAGTTAATGTTTAAAAACGACGAACGTTACATTTAATAATGAAAAAACACAGAAGAAAGGCCAACAGCAACATAATTTGTCAACCTTTGTTTCATAATGTGACAACAAAACTATTTCCTTCAACACATACACAATAACGCCTTACAAAAGTTACTAATTGATAACACTTAGGGGAAATGTTTATATATATAGTGTATCATTTTGCCCAATAAATTATATAAAAAATATCCATAGGCGGGTAGGTGAAGGACAGAAATAACTTAACGTTTATAAACAATTAACGTTTATGGTGAGAAGAAAAAAACAGAAAAAAGGAAAGAAAGAAACAAGACAGAGATGTGAACAATTACTAGTCACCGGACTTCGGTATGACAAAATATTATACATTTCAAAAGAGAAAACCAACGACCTAATCTAAACTTCGACAATAAAAGATATACAGATATGACAGACAGTAACCAAACATAACCACTGGTTAAAGGTTGCTTGCTTTCGACATGCACAAGCATATCTGAATGGGTTTTTATAAAACATGTTTGTGAGCGCTTAAGTAAAGCTTAACCTGGGACTGAAGTGTAACAACACAACATATAAGCAAACTTAAAAAATCTGTTGGAAAAGCCCTGACCCATTTTTTCGACACTTAGCACAAGACAATTAACAATCAGACTAAAGACACAAAGTACCGATACAAAAGTACATGCAGTTACTGAAAGCTAGTTCAAATCCTTATTTCAAATATATATTCAGTCGACTCCATTAAATGACGATTTAACATTTTTTTTTGCGTTTTTGCCTGTTATCTTGAAGTATAATATATGTATAAGAAAAGTATAATAGAAAGAAACTTTTTATAGCAAAAATTAGCAGCAGGGCAAGATTTACAAATATGACAGAAATTGTCAGTCAACTTCTCATAGGAGTTATTGCCCTTGATGATTTGTATCTGTTTTGTTTTGCATTTAAAATAAAACTTTCCTAGATAAAGAAAACTGTAAACAGCAAAAAAGGTCAGGAGAAATTGTCTGTCAAATCCTTATAGGAGTTATGTAATTATGTTATTACTCTTTAATGATGATTTTAACCTATACTTGCTTTATTGGAGAACAAAAAATGGTAGATTATAAAAAACTACACAACAAACATGATCAGCGTGACAAGAACTGCTAGCCGAAATTGTCAGTCGATTGTTCACAAGAGTTATTTCCCTTAAATGACGACTTTAACCCTTTTCCCGTTTTGAGCCAAAATATTGAGATGGAGAAAAACAGTTTTTTAAACAGTAAAAAAGATCAACAAGACACGATCAACTTCGCATAAGAATTCTTGCCCTTACCATTTTTTTGCGATTGATTTATTGTTGTTTGCTTAACATCCAGTGTCAATTATCTCATACATGTTCAGAACGAGAACAAATTAACAATAAATACAATAAAAAGGTCCCGTAATAGAGGCCATCCAAGATAAAGGAAAATGAGGCTATATCGGACACGGTAGGAAATTTTGCCTTGCAACAGGCCAAATACGTACATGTACCCCCATAACGTGTTGTTGGGAAGGATCTTAACCCTTCCCCCCATAATGACGGCTCTTGTTTGCTACATCAGTTGAAACGTTTTGCCGTTGAGTAATCCGTGTCCGAATTCATCAAATTTGCATCCAAAATAAAAAAGTATACTAGATTTGTGATAACTGGCCACAGGCATTTGTCTCAGAAATTTGTTTTCCTATATACCTTAATATAACATTTATATGAACGTATATAGGAATTATTTTTACTGAGACAAGTGCCTGTGTTACTCGCGTTAATTTTCTTGATTAAATTGTTCGTCACCTTGAATGATAATTTCAAACATGATGTTGTTTTTTTAATGCGGTCGCCATTTTGTCGAATTTTTTGTTGATAACTTTTGCGGTGTTTACGATTTTTATCAATAGTTATTGATAACAATTGTTAATTGAATACCTAATCTTCATTTTGTACGATACAGTTTTGAGTCAGATTTTTTTAATTTTAAAAATGACGAAGACCAAGTCGATATCATTTCCCAGTTCAGAGCAGAAGAACATTGCAATGAAATACATTTTTGTGTTTAAAATATGATTCGAAATATCAGAAATTCAATTTAGAATTGAAAGATATGCAGTCGATGTCATACCATTCCTTTTTCCGACACATTTTGGACATGAAGTTGATACCGTGTAAAAGGTAGACAGCCGCGAATTCTTGGGAAATCCCTTTTTCAGACCTACTGAAAACTTTTATTAACCAGAAAAAAACACGTTTTATAGCAATTTTTCAATGAGATATTTTCATGAAAATAATATAATTTTTAAGCCTCAATCATTTTCTTGAAGAATTGAACGTGGATAATGAGTTTTTCAACTTTTTCTGCTCGAACTTCTAAACCCCGCCAACCGCTTGAAATTCATAATATTCTGTGATGTTTTCACGTAAAAAAGACGATACACATTTTCCTCGTACTTTATTTCAATATATATATATTAATACAGTGTTCCGTAAACTTCTAGGTTCATGAAATATCATTTTGTCTAAAAATAAATTACACAGCTTTTACGTTTGTGTACTTGGCCATTGATTTTGGGTAATAAAACATGACCGACTGAAGAAATGGACATTTTCCGATCTCCCAAATCTTCGCCTTTTTCGGAGTTCGGGTATCAGATTTAGAGGTTGAAAGTGGCAGCCCAGGTTCAGTTAGCCCTCCTAGTTCATTGAGAACACAAGATTTGTCATTTGATGAACAATCTCTGAAGAAGATTAAGACCTTTCTGGCGGAGACCCTGATTCTCTTATTGAGGAAGACGACGATGAACCGCCGGACAGTGATGGTGATTTTGAATCACAGCTGAGTGAAATTCCGAGCAGCGATTCACTAGTGCATCTGATGATGACTTTTGGTCTGAACAATTGGAGGATATTGATATCTCAGAATTCGATGAAATGACAGGTAATGTTCAAATGTTGCCATTGAATACACAAGCTGTAACCGTTGACTTTTTTCAGGTTTTTTTTTTCAAGATATCTCACAGCATACTAACCTGTATGTACAACAGGAGGGTTTCTTATCGTCGAGTTGCGAGTTACAAAAGTCGAGTTGCGAGTTACGAAAGTCGAGTTGCGAGTTACGAACGTCGAGTTACGAGTTACGAACGTCGAGGTGCGAGTTACGAACGTCGAGTTGCGAGTTACGAACGTTCGAGTTGCGAGTTACGAACGTCGAGTTGCGTCTGATTTTTGAAACAGAATTTTCAGGTTTACTTCGCATTTAACATGTTTAATAAACAAATAAAATTGAGAATGGAAATGGGTAATATGTCAAATTATTATTATCATTATTATATATTTGAAAGGAAATTAAAGAGACAACAACCCGACAAAAAAGAGCAGATAACAGCCGAAGCATACATGTACCCCAACTTAGTAATACACTGCATGAGGAAGGGTCCCGGTATTTTGATTGCAGGATTTGAAAGAGTTATGTAATACTTATTTATAAGAGTCTATATGTTGCAAAGTCACGCACGCTTAAATTTCTTTCAAGAGAGCAACATTGTTCATTTTCTAAAATAAAACAGGATATACTGTAGATATAAGACAAAATGTATACCGTACTGAAAAAATCAAGCATAAGAAAATAAATCATGTAGACAAATGAATTATACTTGCAAATTATCGACATCTCACAGAATATGGCACTGTGTTAGGCCTAAAGTAAATACTTATGAAAGGTACCAGGCTTATAATATTTTCTACGCCAGACGCGCGTTTCGTCTATACAAGACTCGAGTGACGCTGGAATAAATGGTAATTCATTAGCATACCAAGTGCTAACTCTTCGTCTTTCGCTAAGATTTAGGGTGATATAGGCAAAATTGTACATTTAACTTAGGAAAATATCTCATAAATTAATCAGAAATGTGATATGCTATTTGCTTTATGTAATAAATTAAATAATTTTGAACTTTGTTAACTTTGTGATTCAACCCCAAGCGGAGAGTGCATATATATACCAAATAGTTTATAATCGAGTTGTTCAATGTATGTATATCTGAATACTACAACGCAGAAATAAGCATGCTATAGATGTCTTTCTATGGCATTATGGTAACTTCCTGGCATAGGAGATCATAATATGGATTTTTTTTTAATTTAGAAAGACGTTATTCTACAATAAGCTATACCGCTGTTACAAAAAATAAAGGAACAGTTTTAAGGAATGTTATGGCGTGTGTTTTTACGGTATGATCACGGAAGCCTTGTCTGTCACAAGTTTACTTTTTTACCTGCATGCAGCCTTGATACAAATGTTGTAGTTTCAGATATCAGCTGGGTATTGTACATTTTTCTAAAAAAAATGTGCTTCCTTTTCATTTTAATATCATGCATAGCTTGTCACGAGAGCACCTGAAAAAAGTTTTACCCGGGTAAGTATGGCATCAAGTTGGATCTGTTTTTTCAGATACTATAAGAAATAGGTGAACTATGATATTTGGTTTATGGAATGATTGTAAGGTGTATATATATGTCTGACATGTTTCATGTGACCTTGACCATATTTTCATGGTTCATTGGTCAATGTTGAATTTCTCTGAATTGTTCTGTTTTTCAAATACTTTTCAAATAACTAACAACCCTTAAAACTGCACTTTTTTCATATTGATGTAAAAATGTTTTGACGTTTTATACAGACAATTCAAACTTTATTTAATCA